TATCTGTTATGCACGAAGTGTTCGAATATTCTTCAGGGCTTTGCATTATAAATATCATCGTTCTTTATACCTGATGTTCAACATTAGACCCACAAAGTACAGTCACGAAAATATTTTGAGAATTCTTGGAGCATATCTGTTTCACTTGGATATTTCAGGGCATAGTCATTAAGAAAAATAGAGATTTATATAATATAAGATGTTTATTTCATTTACAGATAATTACTCGTTACAATCATACACAATTATTATCCATTATACATTATGCTCTGAATACTTTGAACATGACACAAGAAAATCTAGACAATCATTCTCATTTACTTTCCTTTCTGTTTGTTCAGGTTCATAATACATTATGTCTCTATGGCCCCACGGAAGAGTTTTAGTTGTGTTAGGTATTAAAAATCTTTTATCATCATGATATGATAGGGCAACCTTATTCTTCAGTACTGTGAACATGTCATGTAATATACTAACGAAAGAATTCATTTTTTCTGTGACGGGAAAAAAGTTTGGCATTTCATCTCTGTTGGCAGGTTATAAAATGTCACTTTTCATAAATTACTTTTTTCCCGTGCGAAAAAAGTGAGTACTTTTTTCCCGGATATATATCACATATAATATATACTCTGTTAATGGCTTTTGTTGTGCTATAGTTCCGAAAAATGAGTTAATAGTACCGTCTCCGAGAAAGAACTGCAAGTCCTTTTATCTTCCATTCGACTTCGCGGTGTCGTATATTACTAAACAACTACTGAATTCGCAATTTTTTAAAATAAAATCACAGAATTGAACTGACAGAAGTGACATCAGATATTTGATTACTTCAAAAGAATGATAAAGATGCCTATAAAACGCAGGTGTCCCTACTGTTAAAAACTTGAAATTTCACGTCGATAAATTTCAGATTTCGAAATAATGTAATATCTTCTCAATATTGATTCGTCCTTCCTTCTGTCACAGAAAAAAATAGTGTATTATACAAGGGAAAAAAGTAGTAGATTTTAGCTCACGGTTTTTTGTCTCCCTCCGCTACGCGTCGGGAGACAACACAACCTGGAGCTAAAATCTACTACTTTTTTCCCTTGTATAATAAATAACTATTTTCGGAATATCAACCCGCCTCTCACTACAATTCACTTATAATCAGCTAGGTGAATTTGTTTTTTTTTACAACTGATTTCTTAACTTCTTTTGCTTTTTTCAGTTCACTATTCACAGATTTTACGTAATAAGCTTTCGCTCCCGTACCATAAAAATTTATTATTGGGTCATTGGGAAATTCGTGTTTCATATTTTCCAAGACTGACTTTCCTACAGGTATCCCAAAACTATTACCAATTTCATAATTGGAAGTGTCGAAACGATTCAAATTATCCTTGATGAAATCATAAAAATTTTCTGTTCGAACTTTTAGAATGAGAGAATCTGTGTCGGTATATAGCAATGACGCATTTTGTTCGAAATTCTTCTTTATGCACTCATAAAAAAAATCATATATTACTGTCTTGGATAATTCTAATATGCAGAATCCTAAATAGAGTGCTATATACGAGATCAACCACAATGAATATGATGAATAAACCCAGGACTGAATTATTAATGCAGTAATTAGGATTGTGTACATAACAAAGTGACAACCGAGAGAAAAAATCTGCTGTGCTCCCACTTATAAAAGATGAAAATCGTTGCAAGACTGATGTGAGGTTAATTGTTACTAGCTGGTACACATGTTTAGCAGAATATTTAGTGTATAACTCAGTGCTGTTGGTAAATTCTGGAATTGAACTGTGAGAAACATCTTTTCTCTTCATGGTGATTGATGTTAAGTGAATTGAAACTGAGACTCTCTAAGACAAGAAACCCCCGTTATAACTATAATGCAGATTTTGAAGGTAACAATATGACGATGCCGAATGGCTCTGTTCTGGTCACTGTTTTTATATGCTCTGTGAAAATTGTTTTATTATAAATGCCAATCATACTGAGTTTGATTTGGTAATTGTTGGTGTTCTACATCAAAGGCTTTTCTGAGGTCTAGGAAAACTTCTGTGTAAATAAATTCCATGATATTATTGTTTGCTGTTTGAGTGTTTTATTTTGACCTGTACCTGTTCTCTTGCTTGCTGAATACATTGATGTTTTCCAAGTGATCAAGGAGCCTGACTTTCATAACTGACACAAAAAAGTTGGAAAACACTGTCAGTTTATAATCATTACTGATATTCTTGGGTCCACATTTATGTGCAGGGGTTATTCTGACAATTTTAAGGCACGATAGAAATGTTCAGTTTTTGATACATTATTTTTTTATCATCATTCCTGCCAGAAATGGGTCTAGTAATTTTTGCATAACAGATAGGATGATATCTTAGGAAGAGGCAAAATGATACGAATAAGGAAGCATACCTATCAGCTCTACCAAATTTGTCCTCACGTCTAAGTAGCGCGATCTGGTGGACAATCAAAATATGCTAGCCCTCATTGGGCCTAGGGTCCCTAGATGGAAATTGACGTTAAAGTCATCTTAACAGGGTACGGACAGATCCTCGTCTCCTCTCACTCTAAAGTGTTTGTGAAACAGTTATATAGTTCCATCCTTATTCAATTCTGGGGATAAACACTACTACTCCAGCATAATCTTTGCGATTCAGGTATCATATAAATTGTACTGAAAGCTTAATATATTTCACCAAAAGAGACTGTTCTTAGACTGTATACCATCAGGGTTGACTGAATTGACTGATTGAATTCTGATTTCAAGCTGGGCAGCAGTTTATCTAAGAGCTGAATGAGCTGAGCCTCATGATTGAGAAATGGTGAAAACCTCGATGTGGGTATCTACATTTCTGTACTCATGTCATGTGTGCTAAATATATTCTCGAAAATCCAACTCGGAGATGAATTTATGGAGTGACTAATATCACACTACGTATATAACTCATTCAATCGTAAAATCTTTTTATATTTTCTTGAATTTTATGATCATTAACATTCAGAAATCTTTTGACACTGTCGATATTATACAATATACAAATTGTATTGGAAACGCATAATAAATATCATTATTAGATTACTAGCTGACTTGGCAAACGTTGTTTTGCTATGCAAAATATTTCTAGAAAATATTCTTTTAGTTGAATATTTACCAGCACACTTTTTTTATCTCATTTTCTACTTCTTCTTAGTTCAGCTGTCCATAGAAGCATGTTTCTTTAGTTTTTCAAGATACTATCCATTTTATACTCCTTTTCAGCTCGGCAATCTATCTCTTCAGTTGTTTAAACTACTATTCATTCTCTACTTCTTCTAAATTCGACTAGTATCTACGACCGCGTGTTTAATTGATTTTTTCAAACAACTATTTATTACATCTTGGATATCCCAATTTTCACGAAAAATCATGAAGTTCGACCCCGAAAACCACCAGATATCAATCTTCAATAGAATCAGAACATAATTAGAAATGTCTTTCGCCATATTGGATCAGTCATCTTGAATTTTCCAATTTTGACGAAACAATCATTATCTTCTACCACGAAAACCCCCAGATACAATTTTAAATAGAATCGGATCTCAATTACAAAACTCTCCCACCATATTGGATCCAGAAACTTGAGTATCCCAATTTTGACGAAATAATTATAATCTCCGACCCCGGAAATCCACAGATACCTGCCAATTTTGGATAGAATCGGATCACAATTACAAAACTCGTTCGCCATATGATCTTCCACAACAAGTAAATGCCCTGTACATACATATTATTGAAATTTTGAATGATTTTCTGTAGCGCCCATGGATGTGACGTGACAGCAATGTCAGGGATGCCAGTAGACAAAATTAAAGTCTCTAGATCATTAAAAAAGAATGCAGATATGATCTGTCCGTACCCTGTTAAGATGACAAATACGTCAATGGGCGTGTACACCTTAGTAGAACTTTTAACTCAAACCATGTTTATAATGATCCTTTTATACATAAATAATGATTGACGACATAATTCGATCGAAAAATTAACTGGAATGTTTTATTTTTGGACATAAATGATAGTACCTTCTGAAAACGGAGACCCTCTCATGACGTAGAAACCCCATCTCGCCATATATATATATAAACCATATATATCTACTACTGATATATGAATCATAGCTCTCCTCAAAGCGGGACCCATTTCTGTCTCTATAGGTAATGAAATCGACCAATAGGCGTTGATACCGACGTAGGGAAAAAATAATAGGAAATTTGTCAAATCAATATAGCTGTTTCCATCATTCACTTTTCGTTCTCATAGATTCAAAGAGAACCTCTCATTTTGGTCCCATTTTTGTTGAGATATCGTATAGGCGATGCGCCATATATAGAAATAGTAGATATATGGTTGAAACTGACACTCTCCTGATACTTATTACTGTTGCCATATCATCCAAACAAAATATCCGAGAAATCGAAATCGATATTGAAATATCTTTTGATATCCACTACCACTACTGCAGAAAAATATATTCGAGTTGTCGATTGTAGGTTGAATCATTGGAGTATAAACAATCTCTAGACAACGAAATGTCCCAATCTCAAAACCATTTGCACCATTACAATTTCACAATAATCCAATATATTTCATAAACATAGCAACATTGCTTTGTTGACCCGTTTCACATGGAGCTGCAAAAAGTCAATCTAGGTTAGAATTGATTTGTCAGAAATCATGTATCATTCATCTCTGTCTGGAATAGTCATGTTTCAGTATTAGGGTTTTGACGTCACATCATCGCCTCGTTTTCAGAGGTCCGAAAAATCGGGGATTTCAATAATTTTTTATAAAACGTAGGGAGCTCACAGCAAGAAACGGTTTGCGGTGGTGAGCTAGTTTGGGTGAGTTTTATCGAATTATGAAATAAAATTTTTTTGTGATATAAGCCCATTTACATCAAGGGACCCTAATTGGGCCTATATAGGCAGCCTAAGATAAAATTATTTGAATCGATATTTGTTTACAGGTTGTCATCTTCAGCACCAACTCACTTAGGCTTGGACCAAATCTGGCAACGACGCGAACCAAGAAAGCACCTTCTATCGACAAGTTCCTTGGCCGAATGCGGTTCTACTTCGTCAATATCTACAGGTGGTCTCTTGAGCCCTGACCCACCCGATTATTCTCTGGACGATGACGAGAGCGACGAAGACAGCGATGCACATTATGAGGACTTTTCTTCCGATAACGGTCAGTGTTCTATTAGAAAAAGTCATATAACTGGGACAAAAAAATACATCGCACTATAGTAATTTCCACAAAGTGTGTCCAGGGTGTTTATACAGGGTGTCTGTAAAAGGTTGGAACATGGCTCGGCTGTGGACTCCTGGGATAAAAAACAAGTTGATTTAGGCCAACTCACCTATATCCAAAATCGTCTCGTCGAGTTGGTACAAGGCGTTGAATTTTTTTTGGGAAAAATTACTTTTGCTCATAAAAAGATTGGGCTGAGATCGATTTTCATAATTTTTGGCATGGCATGTTCTGTGACTGTAAGTCACATTGTGAGATGTTTTTGATCATCATCAGTGACCTGCAAATGTTTCAAACAACCGTGTTGCCATACAAATTTGGTGATAACTTTTCAGAGGTCAGACTGAAAACTTCCAGTTTTTTTTTCAGAAAGATATTCCCATCAGAAATATTTTTTGTATCCTCTTGATTTTTGATGAGTCTCGAGGGTCATTTGCAAATAAATAATTTCTGATCTGATGCATCCTGCGCATTTTCGAAAATGAATCTAATTAGTCGGACTGTGTATTGATCATGGCTACAATGTATTCTTATTGTGAACAAACTGATATGTTGCTGGTCCTCGCGGGCTTTACAAGAACTCTCGCGTTACAAATTCAGTGATAATTATTCAGGACCTAAGGTGAGAACTTTAATCAACGAAACGATTTTGGACATAGGTAAGTTGGCTAAAATCAACTTATTTTTATCCCAGGAGTCTACAGTCAAGCCATGTCCCAACCAGATTATTTTTCTAAAAAATGCATGAGATGCCTCAGATCAGAAATTATTTATTTGCAAATAAACCTCGAGACATATCAAAAATTAACACAATATAAAAAATATTTCTGATGGGAATATCTTTCTGAAAAAAAAACTGGAAGTTTCCAGTCTGACCTATGAAAAGTTATCACCAAGTTTGTAGGGCAACATGGTTGTTTGGAACTCTTGCAGGTCACTGATGATGATCAAAAACATCTCAAAACGTGACTTACAGTCACAGAACATGCCGTGCCAACGATTATGAAAATCGATCTCAGCCTACTCTTTTTATAAGCAAAATTATTTTTTTCCAAAAAAACTTCAACGCCTTGTACCAACTCAACGAGACGATTTTGGATATAGGTAAGTTGGCCTAAATCAGCTTGTTTTTATCCCAGGAGTCCACAGCCGAGCTATGCCCCAACCTTTTACAGACACCCTGTATTATGTTCTTCTATGATTTCTTCTGATACCGAATGGGGAGATAATTTTTTTTCTCAGCTTTCTCACTGAACTTGGAGTCTTTACTCAATAGGCTGTACTCTTGTTGTTTCATATAGTAGTTCATTGGAAGGATTGTGAATAGGATTTTTAGGATGCCATATTCTTATCTTTGGTATAAGTTCATGGTTTCTCAAAGTGGAGTAAAGTAGTAACTACTAAATAATACTCGAAATCATCTCCACGACATTTTAATATGATTAAAACGATCAAATCAATTGGTACATGTTTCGGACATATACAGGGTGGCATTGAAATAAGTGCAAATATTTCAAACACTGAGCAAACTCGATTTGTACTATGGAATGGCACTAATAAAAAAAATTAGGGATCAAAATTTGAGGTTAGACCCATTTTTCCACCCAAAGTTCTACCTTGTAGCAAATCTGATGTCACCTCTGTTCAAATTTCCATGCGGTAGGCACAATCACGCGGAGTTCAATTATTTAAATTGGTTTAAATTGGCGTACTTGACTTTTTTCTCGTATTTTGTTCAATTTTTGGGATGAAATTTCTCGTTAATTAGAAGAATTAGAAAAAATCTGATATCATGGGAATATTCCTTAGACTCTATCATATTAATGTGCTGAATATGTGCACTTATTTCAAAAACACCGTGTATATGCAAAAAAAAAGGATTATAAAAATAATACTATTAAATGGAATAAAAATAGGTGCTTTATAAAAGTTCAGATTAGATAATGGGTAGGAAGATGGCTGATGGCAAAATGCAATTTTTGAGTACCTGAACGGGTTGCAAAAAAGCGATGGACTCATAGTGGTGAATTTAAATTTCCGTGTTACGAACGCTACTATTGATGAAATAAACTGAACTGTTTGAAGTTGCCAGAATGATAAATGGGGCTGAACCTTGTAGCTGTGTGTTTTGCAAATTACTGACTAGAACTATCCATATACATTTGAAGAATATTTTGTTCATTTCGAACGTTTAACTAATTCGTTAACTGCCTAGTAGTAACAGATATTTTGTGTACTGCTATATCTCTGTTTTTATGTCTGTATTCTTTGCCAAGAGTTTTGTATTTGACTGTATATTCAATGTACAATGTTTTTTTTTGTTTTTGTTATACTGATTTTGATTTATACTAATACTATGTATTACTATTGACGTATGCAAACACTTTATGTATGTACTGCACGAATAAACTTCTATTCTATTCTATTCTATTCTATTCTATATGCAATTTTTCTCTTGAAGGTAAAAAGGTTATTGGAATGTAATTCCTATAAGCAATTCTTGAGTTAATTCAGAAAGAATTGTGTATTTTTCGTGATTCTCTGTCAGAGACCATATATTGGATCCAATCCCATCATAAGCTGGTTTTCTTCTAATACTTTGATTTGAGATGTTGTATTGAGATGCTAATATGATATCGACAAACCATCGCAGAAACTTGATTGAGAATATAAAAATGTACAAGCAAGAACAATTTTCTTCCTTTACAATCCCAATAGTTCACAAAAAAAACAAAATATCTGATATTGTGGAAGCTAATGAAACCTGCAAAAGGCTTAGATGGAATACAAATCTGCCTATTAGCATCATCCCTAAAAATTATAAAGGTATATGATAAATGATATAGTGTTATACCCAGAGACAACATACAGATCAAGATTGGATTTACAATATTTATTCTATAATATTTCGGAAAAAAATGTAAACGAAATTCATAATCTTCATCTGTGGAAATAAAATACTTATTAAAAATGATGAAATGTATTGCTCCTTTTTTGGAATATAATATGTATACCTTCATAACACACTTTTATCAGATTATAACTATTCTGCTTGATTCACTTCATATGAATATGATTATTTTCAGATACACTCACCAATCTAACCCAGGTACACAACCTTGATGGACAGTATTGAATTGTATCTTGACAAACTAAGATCATCAGCACAAGAGACATTAGTTACAATTAACACACATTACACGTATAATATGAGTTGTAGAACTGATGGGTGAAATCATATGCTTCATGAACGGGAATAAACTAGTTTCTTGATCAGTTCCTCCATGGAATTGTCGAATTATTATTGTAATAAGTTGAGATATTGAAAGGAAATAGCCGATGAATTTTAAAATATCTCAACTGGCTAAATTAATCAACTGAGACTACCATTAAAAGTCGTTATAGTTCTTGCTGGCGGTATTTTGCCGTGTTTGAACGGGAGCATTTCTCCAGGAATTCATTTTGGGAAAACTAGTGGAGACAAAAATAAAAAAAATCTTGGCTTGTTGATGAACATTCTGGTATTTTTTCCTCAATTTTTTGTTTAAAACTGACAGCACACATTTTGTTATATCACAATTTATTTTAGTGGATTCTGATGACGAAGAAGATAGACAAAACAGACACTCAGCTAGTCGGAAAGACCGATATTTTTGGCAGTATAATATCCAGGCAAAAGGACCAAAGGGCCAACGTCTAATAATGAAGTCCAAAATGGAGGATCCGCATCATCTCAATCGAGTTACCGATCCGGTTTTCAGCCCGGACTGTTCTCTAAGGGGAATAAAGCATAGTGGAAAAGCAAGAAAAGGTAAGTAGACCGCTTCTCTAGAAAATTTTGTTGACAGTTTTTCAATAACCCCAGATGAAAATGAGACCTTGGATAAAAGGAGAACTAACGCTTTTGAGCATGAATTGTGTATACATTGCCCATAACTTTTTCATTCTTTGCATTCAATGAAATATAAAATTGACTAGGGTATTGATATTCAAATTTACTATCAGCCTAAGGTTATCAGAGAGAGGTAAAGAGAGAGATGCTAGTGGAAATTGATAATTGAAAAGTTTACTCACCAGAATATGTTTCAAACCAAACCAGTCATCTGATTTCAATTTAACTTTCAGCAAACAAATTTCGGAGATATGTATGTATGTCTGCTTGTTGAGCTGAATATTTTCTATCCAATTTATTCATTATTCATTTGAGAAAATCACCAACCAATAGATGGCTGAAAAAACGTGAAATTTTTAAGTGAAGGTGTCCAACAAACAGTTTGCATGAGGATACAATATGAATTGGATGTTTTGAAATCCTTATTTTAGGATACCAAATCATCAATCTGAGATATTTTTGATGATGAGCTATTGGTCAACATTCATGAATTTCAAAATGGTTCAACTTTATCTCCCTACCAGATCACCGGAGCTATTCAAGTATTGCCATTTCCATATTTCTCATCAGATTCTACTTTATGAGCATTATTTTAGAAAATTAAGGATTTCAAATATGTTGGACTAAGTTGGGCTAAGTTGGGGATTACATGAGACCTTCTGAAGAATCAGTTGTAGTCAAAATGCTGAAGAAGCTTTATAATTATCATTCATTTAGGTTCATCAATCTCAATTTAGATTAATGATAACATTTGAATATTCAAACAATGAGTTGTAGCCAAAATGCTGGAGGTGCTTGATAATTTACATTTATTTAGGAAAACTTACTATAGGTTCATCAATCTTGATTTAGAAAAATCCTATAATTTATGAAAATCTACACACTTTTTGTCGTCAATTCTGTTTGGATCTTATGACATTTAATGTTATAATTAACATGAATTCTCATGCGAGATTTGCAGGAATGGCACTCTAATCTAGTAGGCATTCATCAATAATGACTTGTAATATGCTGTCATGGTCATGGCTACTAGATTTTAATTAGAATTGAGAAGAAGGATGTTGGGTTTTAGAGTTTTTAGTTTTACTTTTACTTTTAATAAAATTCACAGAGTACAGAGCTATTTACAATTGACATTGACATTCCATCTGTCATCGTGCTACAGTATGTCTACACTTTCATCTGACCAGTGTCAGTTACGACATTTATCAGTTTCCTACAATATCACATTCAATATTCATTATCGATACTACTGATAGATGTTAGTAGTCGCTTCTGATTCAGTAATAATTGTATGTTTTAACATCCAAAAGGTTCTCAAGTTTGACACCAGACGCCGCACACTTTGTGACGTTCGCGAAATCAATTTGGAAACGACTTGAGTTTTTCTATGTTTCAAATGTGAGTTTTCATATTGAATGAGTACTACCTTCTTATCAACTAGGCTAGCTGATGATTCGATCCAGTTTCTTATTTCTTGCTTATCATTGTATTCGATTTGCCATTTATTTCCAGGTGACGGTAACGACCTCACTCCCAACTCTAAAAAACTCTATAACATTGGTAGAGAACTGGATAAGCTGGGTAGAATTATCAATGACATGACGCCAGTGAGTGAACTACCCTTCAATGTTAGACCTACTTCTAGAAAGGAAAAGAACAAATTAGCTTCAAGGGCTTGTAGGCTGAAGAAAAAGGCACAGCACGAAGCTAATAAAATCAAACTGAACGGGTTGGAGTTTGAACATAGTGAGTATATTAAAAGAATGAACTAATTAATCTTAGGGAAAATGTCCATGGTGACTCAAAGTAGGGTGGTGTAGTTCATACATGAAAACCAAAGTCATATCTCTACAACTTTCAATTTTATTGATCGAAGGTCAATCATAAAGGTCCATGTTGCTTGCAGGAAAATGAAAAAAAGAGACATGCTCTATGATCTGGAATATATGAACTGTGATGAACTTTGAAATGAAATGCGTGGAAACACATTATGATGAAGTTATGAAAGTTTTTGTGAAATGTTTACATTGAGAAATGGTTGGGTTTGTATTTTATATGAGCCTATGTGCTCTTCAATTTACAAAAGTTGCAATCAGACCTGCAAATATCAGAAATTTGAAAATTTGTGATGTTGCATCAAAATGAACCTATTATAGAACAAACAAATGTGTGGTGATACTGAAAAGTGAGGTTACTAAATCTGACATGACTTGACAGCCGGATAAATGTCGAAATTTCATATGTTAGACGTTAAACGTCAACAGATTATTAAACATAAATGAAGAGATAGAATTCGAAGTTATATACAGGGTGTACCAATAGTGTGACAGCAAGATAGCAGGTCTGCTATTAGAGATGGAAGACGAATATGTTTTCAGAAGTTCTAGGTCCAAGAGATGCATATTTTCAAATTATTTTTCATTATATAGTGTATCAAAAAATGTGATTCATCAAACTTATGTTTTTTCAAATGGAACACCCTATATATTTCAACATACAGTGTGACCCATTGCTAATGGAAACACCCCTGTATTTTACGTAATCGTTGAAATTTGTTGGAGCGAGAGATATACCAAAAATGCACTCTATGACCAAGTTGGGCCATCTTCAGTGATATACACTGCTCGCCAACAGCCATGGAACTACCCCAGGAAAATGATATTGGGAGTCAAAATAGGTTGCAAATCACTTCGGATTCGGAATCAGGACGGCCAATTCATCAATTATTCATAGTTTTTCAGTTCAGGAAAATTAAATTTTGTCTCACTTCTCATGGAAGCACCCCCGTACCTCACGAAATTATTGAGGTAGGGTTCTGAAATTTGCAGGAGGAAAGGAAAATCCAAAGATAAATTCAATTATATAAGGTACGGGGGTGCATCCGTAAAAAGTGCGACAAAATTTAATTTTTCAGAAATCAAAATTTTCCAGGAAAAATATGAATAGTTAGTGAATTGGGCGCCCTGATTCCGAATCTGAAGTGATTTTCGACAAATTCTGACTCCTAATATCATTTTCAGGAAATTGGGGTGGTTCCATGGATGTTGGCGAGCAGTGTCTATCACTGAATATGACCCCACTTGGTTATAGAGTGCATTTTTGGTATATCTCTCGCTCCAGCAAATTTCAGGATCCTTACCCGACGATTACATAAGATACAGGGGTGTTTCCATTAGAAGTAGGTCACATTGTATATGGATTCTCATAAAAAATGCTGGTTTTTTGTTTTTGAAAATCTGACGAGGCGTTGCCAAATTATATCTGTTTTTCAGGAAATGCAAGTATCTTTGAAGAAAACTGTACTTGCAATTTCAAGAGTTTATTTGAACATTCCTGTTGATCAATAGTCAATACCATGTTCTATTTTATAAAACTCTCCTCTCTTCTACAAAGTATACAGGGTGGTCAGAATAACACTTCAACTTTCTCGAATTTCAATTTTTTCAAATTATCATTTCACATTATCCCATACAAATTTCAATAGGCTTTCGAATATTATGGGGTTTGATGTAGCTAAACATTATACTTTAGCTGTTTCATTGAATAACATATGGTATTTAATCGTTTTTCTCATTTTTGAACACCCTGTATAATCAAAATGCATGTACAATTTTCAAATTTTCTATAATTCTCACCAAGACATCATTCTTCCACTATAACTACATTTAAGTCTGATTCGTGATTTTGTTGCATGAAATCAAATTCAAAATATTTCAAATACTGATTATTTTCGTATCTAACAACAGATGAAATGTGTAAGCAGATGTAGTTATAGTGTTATAAACACGTCTTGGTGAGAATTACAGACAAATCCGAAATTTGACATGCATGCAATAATAATAGGGGGGGCTTTATTTATTTTCAATATCCTCGGCGAATGTAAAAACTTCACAAAAGTTTTTACATTTGCCATGGATTTCCATCAAGTAACGGCCGAGTCAATTCAAAAAATTCTCAGCGAAGTCCAGTGTGGGGGGTTGTTGTTGAGTGGGGTTTTCTTTGAGTAATGGACTGTATTTTTATGTTATTTTATTGAACTGGTCACATACATATGAGATATGATGAGAAAAACTCAGCGTGAATATCTGACAGACAATGTCATAATTAATTTATTGATTCTCTCAAAACAAACTATCGAAACCGTAACTAGGTAACAGACAGAGTAATCGAATCTAGATCACTGCTGATACTGATGCCAAATCAACTAAAAAGTAATAATATTTATGGAATTCGAACATCCTCCCCCCTTGAAGTAATATCTTCAATTTAATCTAATGGCAAGGGAGCTAATTTCGTGATTGGACGAATGAAAGTGCCAGTTTTAGTTTGAACTTCTGCAACTCGAACTCTTCCGTCCGGCCCAGGTACAACTCTCAGAATTCTACCTAATAGCCATAATAGAGGTGGTGCGTTGTCCTCTCTTACAAGAACCATCATGTTCTCTTTGAGATTATTTGTTTTCTTCATCCACTTTGGCCTGTTTTGCAATCTGTTAAGATATTCTATTGAAAATCTTTTCCAAAAGTGTTGTCTAATTTTATCACATTGTTTCCAAAATGACAGTCGATTATCAGGAATGTTCGAAATGTCTTTTTCTGGAAACGAGGTCAGTGGTTCTCCAATCAAAAAATGTCCAGGTGTCAAACACGTAAAATCTGAAGGATCAGCTGATAGCGGACAAAGTGGACGTGAATTTAAGATACTCTCTATTTGAGCCAAGACAGTACTAAGTTGCTCAAATGTAAGTATCGCATTACCAACAATACGCCGTAAATGAAATTTGGCCGATTTGATACCAGCCTCCCAAAGACCTCCCCAATGAGGACTCACAGGAGGTATAAATTTCCATACTATTTCTACGGAAGCTAAATAATCTCGAATTATCTCTGAGTTATCTTCAGACTTGAAGAATTTATAAACATCCTGTAGACTATTGTTTCCGCCTTGGAAATTAGTAGCATTGTCGCTAAAAATGCAAGAAGGATTACCACGACGCGAAATGAATCGTTTTAGAGTCAATAAAAATGCATCAGTTGTGAGACTGGATACAAGTTCTATATGTATAGCCTTTGTATTCATACAAACGAAAAGTGCAATATATACTTTGGAAACGACAGCTTTGCGTAAGCTAGATTCCTTTAATTTCAAAGGGCCTCCGAAGTCAATTCCGACATTTAAAAAAGGCCTAACCATTGATACGCGTTCAGAGGGTAAAATTCCCATTATTTGTTCTGATTGAACAGCTTTGAATCGAAAACATTTAATGCAATTATGTATTATCTTCTTCACTTGTTTTAATCCATTTAAAGGCCAATATCTGAGCCGTATATTTGAGAGTACACACTGGGGACCAGCATGTTGAAGTTTAAGATGCTCGTGAACAATGAGAAGATCAACAAAATGAGTATTAGCTGGCAAAAGAATGGGATGTTTGTGATCAAATGATATAGAAGCATTTTGCAATCGGCCGCCAACACGCAGTATGCCTTCTTTGTCCAGAAAGGGACTTAATGATTGAATATAACTATTTTTTACAACTTTATTGGATTGAATGAGAGCTATTTCAGCATGGAAATAGGTTTCTTGGACACATTTGATTAAAGCTTTCAGAGAAATCTGTAGTTCGGATACAGATAAAGAACCTGATTTTTTGCCATTGTGGTTTTTGCAATTATGCACAAATCGCAAACAGTATGCTATTGATCTTTGCAAACGAGAAAATTTTGAGAATCTTGAAATAAATTCAATATCTACATTGCTCCGAGAAAGAACAGTAACATGTTTTTCTTCAGGTATGAATTCAATTTTTGTTGCAGGGCGAATAATTAGTAAATCAAAATCAAATTTGGATAAAAATTGTGGACCATGCCACCAGAGATCATTATGGACTAAAGACATAGTATCAGTTCCACGAGATGTAAGATCTGCAGGATTATCATGTGACTGAATGTGATTCCATTGACAAGCTAACGTTAAATCTTGGATTTCGGAAACTCTATTGGCTACGAAAGTAGGCCATCTTGATGGCGATTCATTTAGCCAATGTAATACGATTTGTGAATCAGTCCACAAGACGATTTTTGAAAACTTGAATGGAAATATATATTTCAGTTTATTTATTAATTTGGAGAGCAATAATGCTCCACAAAGCTCTAATCGAGGTAGTGATATTATTTTAAGAGGAGCTACTCTCGATTTTGAACAAATCAAATTAGAGGAAACTGATTCGTCTGGGTAAATAGTTCGCATATACACTACAGCACCATATGCAGACATTGAGGCGTCAGAAAATCCATGAAGTTGGATATCTGAGTAATTTGACGAGGAATTCAACCAACGCGGAATAGTTACTTCACACAAATCTGTTATGTTTTTTGAGAATTTCATCCAAGCGTCTATTAATTCTTGAGGCAACTGATCATCCCAATTTAACTTTCTTTGCCAAATTTTCTGCATCAGAATTTTTGCTGTTATGACAACTGGACTTATGACTCCCAAAGGGTCAAACAGTTGTGATAGGCGAGATAAGATATTACGTTTTGTGTAAGATGTCAATTCCCCTTTCGATGGAGAAGTTATTTTGAAAATATCTTGTTGTGAATTCCAAGTGATTCCTAGTATTTTGTTAGATGAATCCTTGAGAACAACATCATCGGAATGAGAATCTTGTTTCTGAGTGTCTGAGAATAATGATTTGTTGAAAATCCATTTATGTAAGCGAAATTGTCCGAGAAGTAATAAATTTG